GCAAATATAAAAAGGAGCGATGAGATTTGGAGAGACTGGAAACAAACGTAGAAAGGCATGAAATAACTCGGAGTCTCCCGGAGCACACAGAGGTGATTATCCTACTGGAGACTACAGGGTAACTTAAGGAGGAGAGAAAAAGCTTAATATATTGTGGCTTTAACCAGCTAGCCGAGGAGAAGCCCCCAGGAGCATTTAGTCTTCTTGTTTTTATAGTACTGTGTTTGATGTTATTGTCACCAGTGGTGTTTGCTGCAGCCGATTCTCCTTCCAGATGGACAAAACGCAGCGGAAAAATCTTCACTTTAAGCCTCCACGACGACAGCAAAAGTGCCATTGTTCCTGCTCTGCATCTGTGACTTGACTGATTAACCAATCTCATTCGAAAAGCAGTAAAACACACTGACAGATGTTGCTCCGATGATACCAAGAAAATGCTGAGTATTCTTCTTTGAACATCTTAAGTTCTCTGGAAATTCTTCTTAATTCTTCTGAGCCCCTTCACATTTAATCTTGTCATTGTTAATAAGCACTGCCATTATTCTGCAATGTTCAATGCTCACACGCATCAGCTTTGCGGGTTAAGAGCACCGCGCGACCTCAAGATGGTATGAAAGTGCATTCTCATAGCACTTCAAAACATTAGCTTAACCCCCTTAAATCATCCAGCGCTGCAGAAAGGGGGGCAACATGCATGTGAGAATATGGCCTATCTTACAGCATGAGATGCCTCTAATAAGCTGTATAAAAGGGGATCATCTGATTATCCCTGGTGCGCTGGACCAAGGGGCCACAGCAGAGCACAGGCCCATGTTGTTCTTTCTTGATGAAAGGAGGTGGATGGAAGGGATCCCTCTCCATTGCCTGCAGTGTGCCCCAGGCTTCTCTGCGCCGGCACTCCGCTGGGGGACTACACCGTGCCACCGCACTCAAAAAGCCAATATTGAAACAATCACAAAGACAAACACTTTCCCATGAAACAGGCACGTGTCTTCTCACCACAGGCTCTCCTCTGCGCTCCCCAGTTCTTCTGGGGGGGTGGGTGGGGTGGTGGTGTTTGAATCTGTATCCTAGCCAGTGCGTGTCACGTTTAAAACCAACAAGAGGCCAGAAAGTTTGTTCTTTCAGTGCAATTTCAGAGGAGCACTGTTTGCAGCCCCCCCCCTCCCCCTCCCCCTAAACACACACGTTATAAGTGCTCTTTCTTGCTCTCTTTGCTGCCCTTACTCTTTCAAGACATCTGGAAAGGTCCATATGAACTGAATGACCAAGCACTGTAATTAACTGTAGAGAGTCGAGGGCCATTGTTGTGCAGATCACGTTCAGTTTGGTGACAGCTAGCTCATTCAGTTCAGTGGTCAGCTGCATTTTGATATTGAGGCAGACAGACTGACGCCGGGGCAGCGGCCGGCGTGCTACGGCCCAGTAGACCTGAGATCAGCTCACCACAGCAGTTTAGAGTTTAACCCGTACGACTGGACACCCACCACCCCCACCACACCATAAAACCCCGGGACGGGTTTTATGCCACGGCTCAGCATTCATGCTAGCTTTCCCAGAACACAGGGCCCAGTGTGATCCAGGTAGCAGTCACCTTTGGGCAGGCTCAGAGAGCAGGGTTACTGTGATGCATGTGAAAGAATCCTTCAGCCAAGAGATCCATACCTCCACTGCCTCCAGCTTAGCAAGCTTGGTTTCTGAGATCAGTCAAGGACAGCAAGGCTTTAGTGTGGGGATTATGCCCTGGCAGCCAGATCTGGGCTTGATTTTTTAAGGAGCAAACCCAAAGACTATTGGACTGATAGGCAGCCATCACAGCCTGGAGACACACTCCTACTCCTATCAATGACCAAACGTATCATTGTTACAGGGCCACAAAACTTAATGTCACTTTAGCGCCAAAATACTTGAGCATTGTCTCTAAAGCTTGGCAAATTTACTTTTCCTTTCCATTCGCAGGCAGTTTTAACATTTGCAAGAAAGCCACTGAAAAGGATGTGCTTTAAGTCCCTCCGTGGATGTGTTTAGTCTGGCAAAGAAGGGCAAGTGTTTAAGAAAGAGACACTTTAAAGAAGAGGATCCCCTCTGAGGAAGCGGAGATGCTTCGCCAGCAAGTGGGCTCACTGTTGCTTGCAGGACCACTGACCGGCTAATCGGCGCATAATGTAAACAGATGTCGGCGCGGCGCATCCCATTCACATTTCAACACAATTAAGATCTTAAAAAAGACTTCTGCCTCATTAATCCTCATCTCAATCCTTTCTTCTTATCCCACAGCAAAGCTCCATGTATTAGTGTTGTGGTAAGAAGGATATGGACTCTTATCCAGTGTTTGCCCAAGAAAAGCGGCTAAGACTCAGGCATCACCACGATTAGCTAATGGTAACAATGGGGGCAATGTTTCCTCAGTGCCTCCTCTTTTCTGCGCTGAAGTGGGTGTAAAAACCAGAGTAAACACAGTCTTAGGCCACGGACGCAAGAGGAGTGGGAGATCACAAGTCTGGGTGAATAGCAGAGATTTACCCAGAGCATAGACCCCGAAAATCCCCCCCTTTGCTCTCTTCTCGTTGTTCGACTCCCACGTCTCCCAGAGCTTCGCCACCATTACAACGACCCAGCGGCCAGGTGTGGGGAGGCTGCAGGTGCCATCGCATTTAGGCACATTAAGCACTGACACACACCAGTGCTAAGAGTAATCGGATTTACCTGGCTGTCTGCTGCGTGGCGTGGCGCGCTGTGCAAGCACAGCACAATGGCTTAGGGCCCCCTCTCCATCACAAACACACACACTCACACATGCACACACCTGGGATGAATTTAGGAGGTGACAAAGCCCTCATAGAGAGGGACTGCCACTGGTGGACTGAGGACTGTGTGTGCATGCGTGTGTTTGCTCACATGTGTATGGAACCAGAAACCAGAACAGGAGCCACTGGCTTTTTACACCTTGTGGCGTAGGAGTGGCGACAGACGCTCGGGCTTCTGGTTCAAAGCAGCTGAAGGAGGGGGAGGGAGGGGGGGAGCAGAGGTTTTAGGGGAGCCCTTTCGTTCTGCTGACCCTCAGACCGCTGGAGCTCGTGGGGATTGAGCTCTGGTACTGGGTTCAATCAGACAGAATGGGACCGCCGCCTTTAGGGACTCCCCATGTCCTCAACACCTGGGGCCAGGAGGAGGTGTTTTACACAGCAATGCTCTCATCTCAGATCACAAGTCTTCCTGAGCAGAGTCCGGATCAGAGAATTGACAGAGAAAAATCAATGAAAAACACTAGGAGCCATTCAGACTTGGTGTTTTTTGAGTCAAAATTTGTTGTTATTTTTGTCTCTATTGGTTAATTTCCCTTTATAGCACTGGCAACCAATCAGGACCTTAGTTTTTTTGTGTAATTGTAACACACCTACTCACACTAAGGCTTCAACTGATAATTATTTTCATTATCCATTATTCTGAAAACATTTTTTTCACATGAACAATCAATCATTTTGTCTACAAAATAAAAGACTAGTTATTAAATAGCTGTCGATTAGTTAGCTGCTAACTGTTCCAGCACCGCCACTACAGACGTTTCTATTAAAGTGTAGAAGAAGGAGTTTAAAAGGAGAATAAAAATCTATGTGCATCATGCCTACAGCTTCCCAGCGAGCATCGCCGCGCTCTCCTCTCCTCTGCTTCATATGATTGCAGCCTTCCAGCCTCTTGAGTCCCCAATGCACAAAGAAAGCCCCTCAAAGCTCCACAGCCCTTTTGACTTCTCCCGCTGCTTTTGAACTCTCCGTTTCAGACCGTGACTTTTCCACATGACCCCGAGCCTCGCAGTGACCCCCCCCCACCCCACCCACCCACTCCCACTACCCCCAAAGGCTTCAGTGGTGTGGAACCAACGGAGCTCCTTTACACATACCCACACACACACACACACACACACACATAAAATGAGAAGTGGCAGTGTTGCTGAGTTAGGTCAGGATGTAATGGGCAGTAATGTTCTGCCCTCGAGGGCCCTGTCCACAGCACCACTGCCTGGTTTTAAGTAACCTTTCCCTTAAAGAGGCACCTTGGTGACTCCCAGGCACCCAAGCACATGGGGAGAAGTAGCTAATGAAGTGGCTGAATAAATAGAGTTACAGTATACGGTCGGGGTCCGCTGGACTTTTCATTACTGCCACTGGATTAAAATCACTGTGTCCCACTCTGTCTCCCCCAATTCAGAGCCAATTTAACCAAACTAAACAAGCTATGACATCAAATCCAGCCTAAGTCCGGGCTACAGTGGCCGCTGAATTAACCTCCTAATCAGCCTCTTACTCCCCAATCATCTATCTCCTGTTCCCTCTTTCCACATACACTCTCGTCTAACCACTGCTGTCTATCTCACCTTTTTTCTTTTTTTCAAATTATCAGTATCTCACTCAAGCTCTCCCTTCACCTCAATCTCTCAAGCTTCATCTCCATTAGTCTCTCTCTCTCTGCCTTTCTCTCACAAAGTCTCAGAGTCCCAGAGAGAGAGAGAGAGAGCGAGAGAGAGAGAGAGAGAGAGAGAGAAGGGGGGGGCAGAGTAGGGAGTGGTGAGGTTTGACTCGGCACTGCTTTGGGGCTTTGAAGTGTGTGTTGATGAGAGAAAGTGGAGTACTGTGCTCAGACAGGCCCCTAATGAGGGAATTAAGAAGCTACGCTGGCCGTTCCCCATACTAACTTCCCAGGCACAAAACAAGACAAGTGTGCGTGCATGTGTTCACAAATGCGTGTGTGTGTGTGTGTGTGTGTGTGTGTGTGTGTGTGTGTGTGTGTGTGTGTATAGAGGCAAGAGCGAGAGGGAGGCTAATCTGTCAGACTCCATCAAGCATCTGGCAGCCCTTCCTCTCACCTACAGTAAAGAGACAAACTTGGCCTCAGTGTTGTGGGGCGCTACAATCGTGTCCTTGAGCGGTACAGCTTCTTAACTTTATAAAATCTACTTCACAAATAGATAACACCAATTGTTTCCTGGCGAGGGGACTTACGATAGTGTGAATCTAGGTAGCCGTTGCGGGGGTCCATCGCGAACAGAGTGCCTCGGTAGGGCAGGGCGTGGTCGGCCAGGTGGGGTAGGGAACCGTGCAGCTCCTTCTTGAGAAGCGAGGGCCGTTCCTCCGTGGAGGTGGAGGGCTCCTCGTTTACGTTCCTGTCGGGGGCGCCGGGCGTCGGGGCCTGGGAGCTGATAGCATTGCGCCTCTCGCGGTGGTAAGGCGTCCCTGAACTCTCGTCCTCAGCTGGGATAGACAGACAGAAAGAGAGGAGGAGAGTACGATGTTAGACCTTTGCAGATTTGTTATGAGCAGATGTCAAAATAAAAGTCAGGAGCAAGTGTGAGAACCTCTCTCCCTTCCTGATTATGTTTCATATAGATACACACTCTCTCTCTCTCTCACACACACACACACACACACACACACAGCTGAAAACACACATGTTCTGAACACCCATATACATGGAGAGGAAGTCTGTTCATGTAGAGGGAGCGGGTGAAGGGAGGAGCAGGGGATCAGCTTTGTACACCTGAAACCTGCTGTGCATCATCGGTGTAAATCTGCCGGTGTTTGCCTTCTGCAGCGCCAAAATGTGGGAGTTCAGAGGCAGACGGTGCATGAGCAAAAAAAAAAAAAAAAAAAAAAAAAAAAAAAAAAAAAGGAAAAAAAAAAAAAAAATCCCAACCTCTTCATTTCGCACAGTTGAGGCCGCCGCATTTCCCAAAAGTCTGTTCTTAAATTCAGCTCTGTCTGTTCTTTTTATAAAGAAACGGATTCTCATGGAGGAGGCAACACAGGCTTTCCGCCTGCATTCCAAACTGCCCATTAACCAGCGTCATGGGTTGTATCAACCCCACCCCTCCTTCACTCTCTGTTCTCAAACTAAATCTTTCTCTCTCAGTCTGAGGGCAAAATTAGGAGGAGTGGGGTCTCTGGAGAAAGCTTCCTGGCATGCTGGGTAAAGGGGATAAATGTGGAGTTGAGTTCAAGGGCTGAGCTCCACCAGAAAGACATGAGCCCCTGACCTTTGGCCTGACCTCTGAACTGGCATGTATAAGGGTCAGTTGGCCTCCTGACCTGGAATTAGTCTTTTCTCTAGTACGATACTATATAGACTACCTCAGAAACTCTGAATGACATTTCTAGGATTTTATTTTCAAATTTCAGCAAAACGGATTTGAGAGAATTGAATTTTAGCTAAACACTAAAGTCGATTTAATCTTTAATACACAGTAAGGTCTCGTCTGTTTGATCATTGAGGCCTGAACAACTCACTTGGGATATTTTTGTTGACTGTGTGTGTTATATTGTGTTCACATTAATGGTATTAGTACATTTCTGTGGAACATCCCAGGCTCCTTCAAATGTGGCCTTCTTTTCCAGGGCAACGCAGGCTTCACCGGGTCAATCAGTTATTGTTTTGCGTTCATGTTGGACTTCTATTATATTGTAGCCTCTACATTCTAGATGCTCTAGTTCTACATCAACGAGTGAAACTTGATTCTAGATATCTGAGCTGGTTTAAGAACTTCTTTAACCCGAGACTGGGCGCACGTGTCAGCACACACCGATGAGGGCTGGATGTTTGGCATGTTATGAGGTGTAAATGTTTTGTATTTTGTATTTCAGTGAGATCATTTGCTCTCCGTCTGCTCTCGTCACTATTCCTTCATTATCTGCTGCAGTGAACGGCCTCCATGTTCAGCCCTGATTACGTGCAATTATGATTTCGCCACTGAGGGTGTTGGTCAGATCAGATCTTTCTCTCGCATTGATGTCGCTCACTGAGAACCTGGCGAGATGTCGCGGAGGTACTGTAGCATTAGCAGCCTAGCGGTACAGGGCTCCCCCCACTATGCGCTGCAGCCCAACAGCATCCAACTGCCAATTAAGAACAGAGGAGAGGGCCAGATTAAAGAGCACCACCTTGAGCACTGAAGAGGGCCGGTATAATGCTGTAGCACTTCACAGAAGAAGAGAAGCGATCGGAAAAGGGGGAGGTTAAGAGAGAGAAGCAGAAAGAGAGAATGAGATTGAGAGACGCGAAGAGAGAGCAGGAGGAGCAACCCACGGGTCCCGCTTTTATTCCCCTCACTCTCCCACATCCATTACCTGCATTCGGGCCAGCCGTGCCTCAGCGCAGTACTGGCAGCAGATTCAAGGATTCTTAACGCGGAACTGACAGCCAGAAGACGCAAGCCGCTCTCATCCGCAGGAAATGACAGTGTCAGTTATGATATAAGTATTTAATCCTATACTGCACAGCCAGTGATCTTATTAAGGGAATAATGGCACTTATACGGTTAAAGCTGGATTAATAGGTCTGCTCTTGCAAAGCGCAATATTAACATAAAGGGATTTCAGAATTGGGTTCATCTCTTGACATGGATTGAAAGAAGTCGGGACTGTAAACTATGCTGGGAGCAAGCACTGCTAAGGGCAGAGCATGTAGCTGTGTGTAGCGCAGGCTTCCACTGTGTACTCTCAGCTCGCTCACATCCAGAAAATCTAGCATTACATCTGGGAAAGTAAAAACTGTCTACATATTTATGAGCTCTTTTTCTTACTTTCATACTGATATTTGATGTTTTAGAAATACTTCATCACTAGGGCTTTAGATAGTGTAGCAGTTAGGAGGCCAATGGGCACTAAAACTGCCTTAAAACATCTTCTGCCAAACTTGGGAAAAACTACTACAGAGATTCAGCTGCTGCTATGTTCTGAAATATACAATGCATTACTAATTTTTCACTATTTTATTTTGTCTTCTTCACTCTACTCCTACTCTACTCCCCTATTTTTCCTTGTTCTTCCTCTTTTTTCTCCTTCTCCGGTGTCCCCCCACTGCTATTCAGATACATCTCTCTCCTCCAAGGGAGGTCAAGCGAATAACAGTTCAATCACAGCAGTGTCACAGCCGCACCATCCCCCTCCAGTCACCATGGCAAGCCCACAGGGGTGGGGGGGGTTCATCATTCTACCATATACCACCTTAAGGGGCTTCATTACTTCAGTTCATAGCACCTTAAATGGTTAAACAAACACTCAGCAGCACAAGGATCAATTGACTCCTCGGACTGGTGGAAGAGGACCAGAGGTCTCGAGTAAGGTTTCTTCTTCTGTGCTGCGCGCACCAGTGGTGGAAGGTTTTTGTATCCTTCTAACATGTCAAGTATCTGTCAAAGAGCGGGCTAATGAAGACAGAGCAGACGCAGGTAAACACATGCAACTTTGAAAAGTTCAACCCTGCAACACTTCTCTAACTCTGACCATCCGCCCAACAGACCCTTTCCCTTTTTCCCTCCCTCATTTTTCATTCCTCTTTTATTTCCCCTTTTCCCATGGTTGCCGCATCCAGTCCTCTACCAGTTTGCAGGTCTATTCAGCCCAACACAAAAGCAGCAGGCCGGTCCTCTGTGGACCAGAGGAAAGCATGCCTCTCAAAAAAAAAAAAAAAAAAAAAAAAACAGAAAAAAGAACCATCCTGCTCTCTCTCTATGGTGATTGAATTTCTTAACATCTTTTCAAAAAGCGCTTAAATGCCTGGAGGCGAGAGGAAGAAACAAGCTAATGGTGGATGGGGAGCACTGAACAAATTTCAGAGCCCTTTCCTGCTCGCGTTTGAGGTTGAAAGCGAGCTCCTGCCTTTCAAGTTTCAAAGTCCTCCTTCCTCCTGCAGTGTCACTGAAGGATTTGAAAAGAAGGTAATTGTGCTCACTGCCGTCCTGATCAGAGCACACGCCCCAGCTCTAGTATTTCAGGAGCTTTCTCTTTCACTATAATGGTACCTGGTGCTCCATTCCTGCATTCTTCCCTCCCCTTACTACTCTTTCTCCTCTCTCTCTCTCTCTCTCTCTTACCCTCTACAAATGCACTCTCTCTTGCTCTCCCTCACTTGCTCTCTCTCCCTCTTTCACCCCCAGCAAGCCACTCATTAAATCCTAAAGCCCAGGTTTCTCCCTTTTTTCCCCTTGTCTGGGGTCTCTATTGTAAAACTCTGGTTCGAATACCTTCAGAGAAAACCCTATGCGTGGCCTTTAATATGGCGGTATAAAAAGAGAGAGCGTGGATGCAATGACAAAATGAAATTTTAAAAAGAGATAATGAGATATGGAGCGCGGCCAGTTCCTCTTAAGGAGTTTGGCTGTGGGACAAGGGGGGGGCCACAGTTAAGGGTGCATGGGTAATTCAAAGAATCAAAAAGTGAGACAAACCCTTGGCTTGTTGTGTTTAAAAGGTATTTTTCTAGGAGGCAGAGGTTAAGAACAATGATTGCTGTTCCTCCACATGCCAATCTGTCCTTGACTCTCAAGCATCTGATTTGCCCTCCAGCCTGAACTCATTCAGACAGCGGCTCTCTAAAGCTGGGACATGTATGTTTCACGGGTGCACAAAGGGCCACTGCACATTGCAACTCTTCTCCACCACCACCCCCCCAACCCCCCCAACCCCCCCTGTTACTGCCTTTCCTAAAAGCCCAAACATCAGAGGAGGTGTTGTTGTACCTCTGAGCCAAAAGCCAGACATATGCTGTGTTCCACCTTCGAACTTCTCAAAGCACTGTTGTCAGTGGCACAAACAGATTTTGGCTGGGGAAGCACACGGCGAGCGAACGAGGAGGAGAGGAGTGGAGGATACACAGTGAAATCACAAAACACTTCTTCAAAGCTCCTCTCCTCCTGTGCAATAATCTCTTGCTCCTTTTTTTTTTTTTTTTTTTTTTTTTTTTTTTTCTTTCTCTTGCAAATCAACTCCCGGGAAAGACTCAAGACTCCCCAATTAACAATGAGAGGGGGAAGAAAAATTCCAGCAGCTGGCTAGAGTTTAATAAGAGCACCTCTCCAAGCGGCTTAGGCTTATGTACCTGATTCACCGGCCCTGGCATTGGCGCTATAGACAGAGGGAATCATTCACGATTAGTGCAGACTGAAAGACAAGGGAGAGCGAGGCCGCTCAAACTCCACCAAACCCAACACAACAAGAGCGCAGGGGATTACCGCAATTGTGTGAGGTATTTTTCTGATCAACTTCTTGGCGTGCCGCAAGGAGCTCGGTGCCTTCCCCACAGCAGAGTTCAGTTCGGCATTATGTGAAGGTTACCGAGTCCTAATGGAGCTTCCTGTATCCGCCTAAAAAGGGTGACATTCGAGAAAAACTCCCTGACAAACAAGTCTCCTAAATGTCAGAAGGCAGAATCAGGTCATTACCCTGATACATGTGGGCAGGATAGTTAACAATCCCTA